TATTTTGAATTTGTGTGAATTCTAATAGGTTTGATTGGTTTATTATTCAATTTTTGCATTCTCATACTGTAAGTTTGAATGTCTTGTTAATGAATGAGACGGCGTTTCTAATATGGAATTTCATTCGCTGTGCTGTATAGTTTTGTGGATTTAAATGTAATTTAGTGTAAGTTTATAATATGGTTAATTGTCAGAAAAACCCCAACCTTTTCATTTTAGCACCAAAACTACAAACCTTTTTTTAAGTTTTGCAATATGGTCTTAAGTTTGACTTTCGGCCAAGGGCTGCTGAGATGGCAGATCGAAAAAATGACATGGAACAAAAATTCAATACCTTCTGCCACATCATCAGACACATGTATTTACACATCACGCATCCTTCACATCAACACATCCCCAATATAGATCGGTTTCTCTTTTCCTCCTCATTTTTTACGCCTTATCACAGAAAAAAGAAAAAGGAACGAGCAGCGACGAGCGATTTCTTCTCGCTCCCTTCTTCTCCACTCCAGCGATTCACCTGCAAAATTCGAGTAGTGCGAATTCATGGCTTGATTCACCTCCAACGATTCACCTCCATTATTCTTCAGATCAAGATTGGTGAAGGTTCTTCGAGCGACAGAACCCTAAATGGAGAACGGATAAATTCGTTAGGTCAGTCCCATAAGAATGCAGCCAACATAAATTTGTTGTGTGTCTGTTGTGTGTGAGCACCAACATATCATAGTCAAATGAAGAAATTAATTCAAAATTCGAGAAAAATAACTGTTAGGGTTCTGGGATTCGTGGTTGAATCAAGCCATGAATTCGAGAAATTCTAGAAGAATACCTGTTAGGGTTTCTGGATTGGAAATTCGAGAAGAACTCGATTATTTGGGGTGAATCAAGCCAATAATTCGCAGCATTTTGAGATGGGTTGCTTGATTATTCTCAATGGAGGTAAATCGCCGCCTGTGGAATGAATGGAGAAGAAAGCTCGTCACTCGCCACTGCTCTTCTTTTCTTTTTTCTCAGATTTCTGCAAATAAGGGAAATCGAATAATGGGGAAGAATTGAAAGATCATAAAATTATATTGCAGTAATATGACGTGTAGGGAGGGTGTGATGTGTACATACACGTGTCTGCTGACGTGGCATAAGATATTGAGTTTGATTGCCCCGTCATTTTTCCGATCGGCCACGTCAGCGGCCCATTGCCGGAAGTCAACATTGAGACAAGATTGCAAAAATTTAAAAAGGTTTGTATTTTGGTGCAAAATTAAAAAGGTTGAGTTTTATATGCAATTTAAGAAAATGTTAGGGTTTTGTGGCAATTAACCCTTTATAATATGAACTTT